TCCGTGTTGCCCTTAAGGCCGCAGCACATACTGTACATGGGTATCCTTTATAGGCATACCTCTCAGGACTGCCCCTCCTGTAGAGTGGCGCTTTATTCTCAATGGCTGAGCTTGGTTGCTTGTTGTAAAGAGCATCAACCTCTCCTCGTGCTTCTCCCTTGTTTTCTCTTGTATTTCTACACTTTAATTCCTGCTGACGAATGGTAGATGTGTTCGGTAATACCACCCACTTACTTGTAAGCACAAGTGGCACTAAATAAATGCAACCACATGCTGTGTGTGTGTGTGTGTAGATGCATGGCTCCTTATGCGCTAAACTTGTAACCACTAGCAGGCGTTAGGCCATCGGGTCAAGCATTTAAAAACTTTATATTTCTCTACCCGTGCGTATGTACATTGTATGCCAACTGTGTCTTAAGTCGCTCAGTTCGGAGAATAAGTACACGAGGCAAATACATTTTACATTAAACACTGAACCCAAACGACAGAACGGACAGACACTGATAGACGTGTGTGTGTGTGTGTGTGTGTGTGTGATACAGATACTGTCTTGGTTAGTTTGTAGGTTCTAGAGAAGATATTTGATTTAACATCAAAAAGCTCCTGGTCTCATGGACAAAACTGTGGCTCAATAGGATGGTGATTTTGTTCTATGTTCTATGTTGGTGGTATTTTGCCAATCTTCAGTAAGATGTGCTTTTCTGATTTTCGATTTATAGCAGGACGTTTTACCAATTCTTCAATCCACTCATTGTTGGATTGATTCAGTCACTAAGACCTGGATCAAACCTCAAGAACTCATGTGTTTTAACAGGATGAAATGAGGAAGTGATGCCATTTTAAACAGACTGAATGACGTAGGCTCAAGGTGGTGAGGCAGAACTTGCATGTGTGTATAGTCCCCAGTCCATGTGTGTATAGTCCCTAGTCCATGTGTGTATAGTCCCTAGTCCGTGTGTGTATAGTCCCCCAGTCCGTGTGTGTATAGTCCTCCAGTCCGTGTGTGTTTAGTCCCCAGTCCGTGTGTGTTTAGTCCCCAGTCCGTGTGTGTATAGTCCCCAGTCCGTGTGTGTATAGTCCCCCAGTCCGTGTGTGTATAGTCCCCGGTCCATGTGTGTATAGTCCCCCGGTCCATGTGTGTATAGTCCCCAGTCCGTGTGTGTTTAGTCCCCAGTCCATGTGTGTTTAGTCCCCAGTCCATGTGTGTATAGTCCCCAGTCCGTGTGTGTTTAGACCCCAGTCCGTGTGTGTATAGTCCCCGGTCCATGTGTGTATAGTGTTTAGTCCACAGTTCTTATATTTGGATTCATATAAAATGGTTTCTGTTTTGAAGAAGAAATCCTGCTCATGACTTAATTCTGCTTAAATCTGCTGCCACATATTTTTTCAACATAATACTGGAGACAAGGTAGAAAATTGATCCTTTTGGAAATGGCTGGCACAGGGCAGCGGGATTGTTGTGGTGAATGTTCCCTTCTAGGCGCTCTCTCCCTCTATACGCTGCATGTGTGTATATGTGTGTTTATCTCTCCATCACAACAGATGCCAGCCGTGCTCTGTCACACACAGAAGAAACGCCATCTGTCATCTGCATAAAGTCGCATCTTTTCTGCTGCTCTTAGAGCACCGAGGCCTCCTCAGATCCCTTTAATGATGGATAGGATTTGGAGGATTCTCTCTCTATTGGAGCAGCAGAGCTCTTATGTAATGCGTGAGCTATTATGTAAGTGTTGGGGGTGGCAGCGGCCTGTGTTGGGTTGGGGGGTCAACTGTTGTCCCTCCGCCCCTGGAGTGCAGAGCCCTCCGTCACAGCTCAGGTCAATCCTCATTGATCTCTCACAGCTTGGGGAGTTGACAACTGACAGTGTGTGTGTGTGTGTGTGTGTGTGTGTGTGTGTGTGTGTGTGTGTGTGTGTGTGTGTGTGTGTGTTGCTAAAGCTGCGCCTCACATTCTTTTATCATTTAATGGACCCCTGAATCCCAGAGGGCATGTAGGTTAGGTTAGGGTTTTATTTGCTGGGGGCTCTCATTACAACTTGTTTTCACCAAAGAAATAGTCCCCGTTGATTACTGCGTGTCCAATTCAAACAAAACTATTTGCATGTCTTCATACCACTTGAGGTAAGTGTCTTTTGCTTCATCATAATTTGAAAAAAGCAACCCTGTATTATATTTAACTCTCCAGGACTGAATATTTTAAAGTTGAACGTTAAAGCTGCCGAAGACAGAAAAACCTTTTTCTGAAGTATCAGGAGGAAGGACTTCTGACCTCCGAGCAAAGACCTGCACACACACACACACACACACACACACACGCATGTATTTGGAGGAAAAAAAGAACTTCTTGGCCCGGGGAGGGAGACAGATGACTATTGACATACTAGATACTAGAAGATAAGTGGAATAAATGACTTTTTGAACACGCCTTGTGACAGGTTCTTGACTCATGCCTATTTATGTGGCCAATTGTCAAAGAAGTGATGACACTCATGACGTGTTTCATTCCCTGGAAGTCCTGGGACTTCTTCTCCTTGATTGGCTGGAGCACATGGAAACATCTACCTGCTCTGGGCTCATTCGGCACCTGCACACTGTGTAGCGGTGCTTTCCCTGCTGAGTCCTTGAAATGGTCGTGGCCTTCAGCGCTTAACTGAAGAGCCCTCGATGCACAATTGGATCTCCGGCTTTTTTACCTGGTCTGATGCTAATGAAGTAAGAGCTTGCTTGAGCACCTTCTCATGGTAAGTGGATGGCTAGATTCTTGCAGTCTGGGGTATGATGTATTTCATGGGGGAAACTGTTTTGCGTTCCATGCTACTATGCATGCTGGCATGTTATGGACCTGCAGTTTAGTATTCTAATACAGACTGCTGGCTTGGGTTTCTGGACACTGCAATAGTTCATTGTTAAAACTGACTTGACTCATTATTTGCAGAGTGTGAAAGGATTTTTCTTGCCTCCCTTCATCTTTTTGGGTGACACGGGTGTCATAATCAGCTTTACTGATGCTCCGACGCACGAATGAAACACACACGTCCTGCTGTTCTGGAGTCAGGCTGTCTTCATTTTCATGGGCAGGTATCTTATCACAGGATTACATCATTGTCATCAGATGTCCTCTGGGGTGGATGTGTCTGCATGGCAGGAGTGTTTAAGCTCCATCTGAAACAAAGTCTTGGCCTGGTACATGCTGCTTTATCTACTCTAAATAAGTAGCCTATAGTATATCATGTAGTAACCAATATCACTTAGCAATAGAAATAACTCCAGTGATTAGGTGGATTTCTTCTTGCTACAACCGTCTTCTTGAAAAGCTTGTAAAATTGCCAGAATCACATTGATGAGAAAGTGGTGATGCTAGTTCCAGAAACCTTGCTCCATGTTAGACTAACCCTTCATAGCATGGGTTAGTGTCAAACTGAGGACAGCCTGCATACAGAACATTTGGGAATTGTCCACTGATCAGCAGACATTTTATCCCTGGGGTGTATAAGAAATGGACGTAGTCTCTGAGACGTCACTCATAGGTTACACAGCCGGACAGAATGTGATGGAGAGGTGGTTGGTAGGTGGAGCCTGGATTTAATATCATTTAAAATGAAACGGTCGCCATGGAAGGGATGTTGGGAATAGAGAGCCAAATAGTATCTGGGACCCGGCTTAAAGCTGTACGTTCATTTCTGCTGGAAAGTTGGGCAACAGGGAACAACATGGAGGTTTGTGGGGAGTAACTCGCGCTTTGAGGAAGGAACTGCATGTTAGGGCACTTCATTTCTCAGCACTACAGGTTGCAGCTTCCTTTGACCTTTTGAAACGTTTAATAAAAGATGAGGGACTATTTTTTAAACTCATTCCACTCCTTAGCTGTTTCTTTTCTGTTTAACCTTTTTTCTTTTTTTTTCAACTTGTTTCTTGTAAGCGGTGGATTCACGTCATATCGGATTCTCCGTGTTGTCTCCTCTCTCTCTGTGCTGTTGTCACTTCCTATGAGCAGACAGGTTTGTGCATGGGGGGCTGCGTGCAGCCGGAGACGCCTGACTCACATGCTCTCTGGGCTGTTGGGGGGGGAGAGAATGTCACTACACATTGGGCTTCCTCCACGTTACACAAGCGCACACAGACAAAGACACAGACGGGGGGAGTAAAGCCTGGCAGACCCTAAATACACACAGCCGCTCACATGCAAGAGGAAATGCACACGATGGCAGCATATGAACACGTGTGATGTTTTGACATGTTATGATTGGATGTCACAGTTATTGATTCGCGGCGCACCTCAGAGCGGGATTTCACTGTGGATCACTGCACGCTGAGTGGGTCTGGATGCATACAAGACGTCATCATTTTCCTTCAGCGTTTCATTTTGAACTCGAGTGACAACAATTGCTTGCGTCTTGATCTTAAAATGCAGTTTTTGCTCCCAGCACAGCTTTGACGTGCTGGAAGAACAGTGAAAACCTCCGTTTGTTGTTAATAAATGTGTTCCTTATTGTACACAGGGGACTTTTTTATACCAGGCAGAATTAAGGAGTAATATTTAAAGAACTACTTACATGGGGTGAAACATAAGATGGACTGAAAGTCTGAATGAAATTAAAATTTGAAGCTTCTGTACCGAGAGAATTTCAAATCAAATCTACTGCCTTTGATTGGATACCTTAAAAAGTGGGTGGGGTTATGTTGAATCAGGCAGATGGGGGCAGCAGACGGACGCCCCCCCTGGAGGGCAGGCAAAAAGCAACACAACACTGTTATATTTGGAGGTCTGCCTTCTAGGGGCGAACTCTGCAGGCCCCGTTTGTTCGAGGAAGAAGACGCATTGTGACATAAGAACAACGGCATGTATGGTGACGGGCGCTCGGAGAACGAGTGTGTTTCCGCCTTGAGATGTTAGAGGACGACACAATGATATCTTCCATTCACATCTGCAGTCCATGTATAATTACCCGTATACTTCTCTTCAGTTTTTAAGTTTACGCATATGTGTTTTTTCTCTGCAGCCATCCACGAGTTCCCGAGGGATTTCTTCACCCCCCAGGAGCGTGCTGATGGCGCAGTGGGCCTTCACGTCCTGTGTGTGAGTTTCCTGCAGTCGTGCACGCACACTTTTTAAACAGTTGTAGAGTCGCTGCATTTCCAAAGCTCATTTCATTCTGTCTTTAAATTGATGTTGTGTCGTGTTGTTTTACCCTGTAAAGAGTGTTTGTTGTGGATTATTCATTTGTTATGAAGTTCTTACCATGACTCAATCTCAACACACGTAAGACAATCCAGGTAGCCTGAATGACTTGGACCAGGTCCGACTTGAGGCCGAGTCTCGTCTCAGACTCGGGGAGGAATGACGCCCGGAATCGGGCCAAAAACACTGGCCCGAATCCGGCGTCTGACACTGCCGTCACTGGGCTGTAATCTAAACACAAACTGGGCCCGCGGACCCGGCGCTGCAGAAGAAACGCGCCCGGCTCCGGTTGCTGACTTGTTTCGGGTCTGGTTGCCGACTCGGCTGACACTCGGGATGAATGACGCCCCAGAATCGGAATCAGAATATATTCTTCATGTCACAAAAACAAGCCAGTCAACATCACATTGTTTGGTGGTGAAACATTTATGTCCGTAAAAGGTATTAAATGAAAATCATAAGCCAAAAAAAAGGTACATATTGTTTTTATTTTGTGCATAAGTTATAAAAAACAAACATTATTTTATAACCACAGACAAACAAATGGCAAATAATATGAAATAACATAATACATTATATATTATAATATATCATATGTTACAATATAAGGTATATTAATAATATTAAATATTATTATAAGACCGACCAAAATGTTAGTGAATTCGTAGAAAGCACACTGTTAAAAGGGTCAATTACATTCAATTCAAATAATTTAAAACTCATACTTCACTCCGGCCAAAACCAGAGTTTGCAGAAAGAGTTGTGAGATCTCACAATTTACAAAACATGAATGTTAAATGTATCAATAGAATGTCTGGAAGGGCAACAGTGGTGGTCCTCTCAGACCGTGTGCAGCGAGGTAGCCTAGCAGCTAGCTAGCTAGCAGCTAGCTTAGCCTAGCAGCTAGCTTACTCTGTCAGGGCGTAACGTGGTCCGTTCTGTTTGACACGTGGAGGGATTCCTCTGCACAGTCAGTGTGCCGCCTCGGACCCTGCAAAGGTAACTGCCTGCAGCTAGCGGCGCTTACGTTTCTGCATTTACTCCGGTTTGCCATAAGTAAACAAAGATGAGCCTTGTAACTGGGATTAAAATATTCTATTGCATTATTCTTACACACTAATCACATAGATTGAATGTTTTCATTTAGACAGCCCTACAAACTAAATACCAAATACTTACCAAAAAGGGTGGAGGTTGGTGGAGAATGAAAAGAAAGTTGGACTATGAAGTCCGTTCCTATTCATACCACGAGGTACGAAGCCCATACTTTTTATTGTGTAGGTTTATATGACAAAGACAACTTTGAGGGATGTTATTACATACATGCAATGTAATAGTATTTGTTTAAGATGTAATGAAATAAACCTCATTGAAATGGCTGGAACAGATCTTTGGAGATGAGGAGGGCTTTGAGTCGTGCAGCAACAATACGTTGCAGTTTATATTGACAAGCAGGCGAGATGGAGACGGGCCACATGGTCCTCAGAGGAGCAGGCTGCTAGTTCGTAGAGCTCCCAGCCTGTTAGCCGGACAACCCTTCCAGGGTAAACAGGTGGGCTCGTGCCGGCTAGCAATGTGTGAGGGAGACGGACCGCTGTGGCCCCAACCTGGAAGCACTGAGGCTGGCGGGCTAAATACTCGTCTGAGTTAAGTTGAAAGCTTGCTTAAGTGTTCAAAAGTTATTCTTTGGTGAATGCAACCAGAGAACTGAGAGCTAAAACTGCTAAGTCCCCTGGCTCCCCTCAAGTAGCTCAGACTGCTGTCGCTCCTCCATGACGTGTGAAAATAAATTCTGCCGGAGAGCAACGTCAGTTGTTACGGCGTAACACCGGTATGAGCGGTACGGGATAAATTCATACCGTACGGCACACGGTCAAACCAGTGACGAGCGTGGGTGGCCCGCCGGAGGACTTTCAATGTGAAACCTTTGCCGACCAGTAATTTAAGAAACTGGAAAGTTAAAGTATTTTAAATTAGTCAATAAGAATATGTGTCAAGTTCTTGGATTTCTTTCTAAACTGGCCGGACTTAAAAAAGCCTGGTACCCCACGGGAAAACTCTTCTCAGATTTAAAGTTTATTTTTTTGTGTTTCGAAGGTTGAAAACCTGAAGTTATCCAAAAAATGCAAACCAATTTCAAAGAGTTTGAGTGTAACAATCCTCTCTGCTGAGATGTTTGCTGATACCACTCGGTTATCCACGTGATTACGGCTCGTGCACGAGGAGAAGGTTCCGAGTGTGGAGGTACATCCTGTGACTCCACTGTAAACGCCTTTGTGTGTGTGTGTGTGTGTGTGTGTGTGTGTGTGTGTGGGCCACCCACAGGCTGTCTACATGTTCTATGCGCTGGCCTTGGTGTGCGACGACTATTTCGTCCCCGCTCTGGAAAAGATTTGCGAGGTAAGAAAACCGCTGCAGGTTATTTCGGCACATCTCCCGGTGACCGGCACGATGCTGTGGACAGTACTGCACTCTTCTTTTTTATGCATATTTATTTTATTTCCGTCATGCTTTATTTGCTTCTTTATTTATCGGTTAATCTCTCCACCAGCGTCTTCAACTGAGTGAGGATGTCGCAGGAGCAACTTTCATGGCAGCGGGCAGCTCCGCCCCTGAGCTGTTCACCTCCGTCATTGGTGAGAAACACACCCATACACACAAAGTATCTGATACACTGCAGGGTTTGCACACAAAGCACGTAGAAGTCATTTTTAATCATAGGTACTCTTCAACTGAGTGACCGAATCTAAAACAAATCCACAAAACCACATTGTATTATTTTTTAGAATATATTTTGCAATTTATTCACATGACAAAAGTATTTGATACATCAGAAAAGCAGAATATTTGCTACAGAAACCTTTGTTGCATGTGTTTCCTGTAGTTGTTGACCAGGTTTGCACACTGCAGCAGTGATGTTGGCCCACTCCTCCATACAGACCTTCTCCACATCCTTCAGCTCCCTAAGACTTTCTATAGGGTTCAGGTCTGGATTCTGGCGAGGCCCCTCCAGGACCTTGAGATGAGTCTTAGGAGCCCTGGCTGTGTGTTTCGGGTTCAGACCCAGCCAGGACCCAACTTCAATGCCCTCACTGAGGGAAGGCCCCATCCATCCTCCCCTCAATATGGTGCAGTCGGTCTGTCCCCTTTGCAGAAAAGCCTCCCCAAAGAATGATCCCACCTCCCTGCTTCACGTTGGGATGCTGTTACTGATCCTTCTGCCTCTAAACACAGCGAGTGGAGTTTAGACCAAAAAGCTCTGTTTTCGTCTCAGACCACATGACCTTCTCCCATACCAACTTGGGATCATCCAGCTGGTCATTGGCAGACTTCAGACGGGCCTGGACATGCGCTGGCTTGAGCAGGGGGACCTTGCGTGCGCTGCAGGATTTGAATCCATGACGGCGTTAGTGTGGTACTAATGGCTTTCCTTGGACGGTGGTCCCAGCTCTCTTCAGGTCATTGACCAGGTCCTACTGTGTAGTTCTGGGCTGATCCCTCACCTTCCTTATTATCATTGATGAGATCTTACATGGAGCCCCAGACCGAGCTAGATTGACCGTCATCTTGAACTTCTTCCATTTTCTAATTATTGATGCAACAGTTGTTGCCAGCTTGCCTGTTGTCCTGTAGCCCGTCCAGCCCTGTGCAGGTCTACAGTTGTATCCCTGATGTCCTTACGCAGCTCTCTGGTCTCGGCCGTTGTGGAGCGGTTGGAGTCTGTTTGATTAAGTGTGTGGACAGGTGTCTTTTATAAAGGTAACGAGTTCAAACAGGTGCAGTTAGTGCAGGTAATGAGTGGAGAACAGGACGGCTTCATGAAGACAAACAGGTCTGTGAGAGACGGAATTCTTACTGGTTGGTAGGTGATCAAATACTTATGTCATACAATAGAAATATATCTTTTAAATGGTAAATGGTAAATGGACTGTACTTGTTTAGCGCTTTTCTAGTCTTCTGACCACTCAAAGCGCTTTAACACTACATGACATCATTCACCCATTCACACCCATTCATACACTGATGACAGGAGAACCACACACAGTGACACCTGCCATCAGTAACTAACATCCACACACTGTAGTCACAGCTACAGGAGCAATGTTGGGTTAAGTGTCTTGCCCAAGGACACATCGTCGTTTAGCAGGGCCTGGGATTGAACCCCCAACCCTCTGATTGGAGGACGTCCTGCTCCCCACTCACCCACAGTCACCTCAAAAAAAATCAATGTCATTTTCTGGATTTGTTTCACTCACAGTTGAAGAGGAGCTGTGGTAAATATTAGACTCCTACATGTAAGTGGGAAAACATGCAAAACCAGCAGTGTATCAAATACTTTATATGTACATTTATTTATGTATCTAACATCATACAAGCAGAGAGCAATTTTCTGTGTTAAGACTAAATTACTTTTTGCATTGTGTATTATTGTATTTCACTGCATTGTGAATTCTAAAATGTGGACATTTAAAGATTCAACTTTAATTTGAATTGTTAAGGAATTAGAGGAGAAAGTGTGTCGCATTTATTTAAAATGCAGAACAAACTAGAAAAAGCATTTCCTGCTGAAAATGCGTTGGAATGCAAAAAGCTGAAAGCTGCACTGAATATTTAAAAATAGCTGAAAATACAGAAAGTTGAAGGGAATTTGAATACATTTGCTGAAAAGATTAGAAAAGCTGAAATGAATTTGAAATTGCTGAAAATACAGAAATGGGAGAAGCTGAAAGGAATTAATAGATTTGCTGAAAAAGTGGAAATGAAAACAGCTGAAATAAATGTGAAATATTGCAAAACAGAAGTTGCAGGAGCTTAAATGAATTTTAAAAAGTACAGAAATAACAAAAGCAGAGATGAATAAAAAGAGGTTTAAAATTGTTTGTAGTATTGTTAGTTGTAATTTGGGTATTAGTACTAGCAGTAGAAGTCGGTTTAGTATCAATAGCAGTAGAAACAGCTGGAATACTGATACTATTAGCCATAGTAGTAATTTTAATAACATTAGTAGTAGTTGTATTAATAGCAGTAGAAATACTAGTAGTATGGTAGTAGAAGTATCAGTTGTAGTACTAGAAGTACGAGTAATATTCGTAGTGGGAGACAGAATGTTTGTTATTCACACTTAAAAGTTTTTAATTAATAGGCCTCATCACAGACATTACAGTAAAAATTCCCTCCATGGGGCTTTTATTTTGAAATTATTGGATTGGGTGGGGTGGGGGGGAGTAGATAGAGGGAGGGAGGGTGAGAGGGTGAGGAAGGGAGGGGTGGTGAGGAAGAGATAGAGGGAGAGAGAGAGAGAGGAGAAATAGACAGACATACTGACTGACTGAGTGATTAACAGTGAGAAGAGGTCAGGGTGGAGGGGGGAGGGGGGGCGAGTGTCTTTATCATATTGGTCTGTTGACAGAAAGCATAGCTGCGTCATGTGACTCCACTAATCAGGTCACAAGGAGCAGCTGTGAGTCACAGACAGATCCTGCAGCATGTGAGTGCTCGTAACCACGACAACGGCGCACCTGTGATCATTAACGAGCGGCTGCAAAAGGGGAGACATGGCAGCAAGTTACACAGAATCCACACCTCAAACAAATGGGAACCAGCGCAAAACTATAACAGCTATCTAAAAAATACGGCGTTTGTATGAGACCCAAGACTCTACCGAACGCGTGGATGTGTTTTTATGTCTGTCCGGTAATAAATACGGCTCCTATGGCCGTTTACAAAACGTGTACCTTGTGGATTTTTGTGAGAAATATGTCGGCAGATTTGTATTGGAGCCTATGGGGCTTTTGGCAGAGGTTGTGTCACTCAAACACACCTTGCGCCAAAACTAAAGAACTCTGGGATTCCATGAACACATTAATCCAATCAGCACAACCATACCCTCATTAATCTGAAGAAATGAAGCCTCTAGAGTGTATACTTTGGCTGCAAGGACAAAAGTTCCATATTTTTTTAACCAGATTCCTGCGATGCCCCACACTCTAGCCGTCGAGCTCTCCACTCTAGCAGACGCAATACACACTCATGTAAAAGTCAGAAACGGAGCGAAGAACTAGTGAAACATAATCAGTGATTATGAAAAAAGTACAATAGATATCAAGAAGCAGTTTTTTTCATAAAATAGTTGAGACTTGTGTCAACATTTGAAAGTTTAAATGGTGTCTGTAGCTGAAAGATTGGGGAAGCTGAAAAGTCTGAAAGTTGAAGAAGTTTAAGGAGGATTTGAAAACAATTTCCATTGGAAAACCATGTTAAAATATTTATGATTATTGATTTATATAAATTCAAGCATAAGTGGTAGAAAGCTGAAAAGTCATAGCCTTAAAGCCAGAAAGGAGCTGAACATTTTAATATTTGAACGGTTTAAATAGCTGAAAATGTGAAGGAGTTGAAAGGTCGCGCGGAAGAAATAGAATAATAACTAGAAAAGGCATTTCCTGCTGAAAATGCGTTGGAATGCAAAAAGCTGAAAGCTGCACTGAATATTTGAAAATAGCTGAAAATACAGAAAGTTGAAGGGAATTTGAATACATTTGCTGAAAAGCTGAAATGAATTTGAAATTGCTGAAAATACAGAAATGGGAGAAGCTGAAAGGAATTTCAATAGATTTGCTGAAAAAGCAGAAATGAAAACAGCTGAAATAAATTTGAAATATTGCAAAAAAATACAGAAATGAATATTAAAAAATTGCTGTTGATAGAGGCATAAGAATAGCTGAAATTATTTTAAAGAACTGCTGAAAATACAGGAAGTGGGGAAGCTGAATTCCAATAGATTTTCTAAAAACAGAAGTTGCAGGAGCTTAAATTTGTTTAAAATTGTTTGTAGTAATATTAGTAGTAGTATTAGTTATAATTGTGGTATTAGTAGTACTAGCAGTATAAGCAGTAATAGTAGGTTTAGTATCAATAGCAGTAGAAACAGCTGGAATACTATTAGCCATAGTAGTATTTGTAATAACATTAGTAGTAGTTGTAGTATTAATAGCAGTAGAAATACTAGTAGTATGGTAGTAGAAGTATCAGTTGTAGTACTAGAAGTACGAGTAATATTCGTAGTGGGAGACAGAATGTTTGTTATTCACACTTAAAAGTTTTTAATTAATAGGCCTCATCACAGACATTACAGTAAAAATTCCCTCCATGGGGCTTTTATTTTGAAATTATTGGATTGGGTGGGGTGGGGGGTGTAGATAGAGGGAGGGAGGGTGAGAGGGTGAGGAAGGGAGGGGTGGTGAGGAAGAGATAGAGGGAGAGAGAGAGAGGAGAAATAGACAGACATACTGACTGACTGAGTGATTAACAGTGAGAAGAGGTCAGGGTGGAGGGGGGAGGGGGGGCGAGTGTCTTTATCATATTGGTCTGTTGACAGAAAGCATAGCTGCGTCATGTGACTCCACTAATCAGGTCATAGGAGCAGCTTTGAGCCACAGACAGATCCTGCAGCGTGTGAGCGAGTAACCACGACAACGCAGCACCT